GAGCATATGTCTCTTCCACAAAATGTTTGTCCTCATTTTGTTTAGAAAAAAATTCTGTTTTTCTTGTTTTGGTAGTAACTCGGTCCTGGCAATTGTGTTGCTTTGTCTAGATGGATTTGCAAGAGAAGAGACACTTGCTTTTTGCTCAGGCGGCTGCTCTTATCATGGCTATGTATCCATTCCTTTTTACTAGGATTAGAATGTTCACGACCTCGCTCACTTATGGGCCATTGAGCAAGATGGATGAGGGGTGCCAAAAAAATTTAGACTTAATTTACAACTACAATGACGTAGAGTGTGTAAACATGCTTCGCATGAGAAGAGCTCCCTTTTTCAGCTACGCAATTTGCTTAGAGAGGGGGGTTGTGCCCCCACATGCCACCCCACGCACGTCCTTATCTACAATCTCTGTTGCTTCATATTTGATCAATATTGCAGTACAGCTAGGGCGAGCTCGGTGCACGGCTAGGGGTAGGGGCGACGACGAGTAGTGTCGGGGACCAATACTAGGGTACTCAAAGAGGAGGAGCTAATGGTCGTCAACATTGATTCATCCGAGTAGTCAAGAGCGCGACTACAGCTCCAACCGACCCCCAGGAGCACGGGCTCCGCCTCGTCCGACCTCTGGGTGCGGGCTCCGCCTCGCCCGACCCCGAGGCCGCGGGCTCCGTCTCGCCCAACCTCGAGACCGCGGGCTCCGCCTCGCCCGACCCCGAGGCCGCGGGCTCTACCTCGCCCGACGGGGACCCATACTGCCGTCAACCACTCTAGGTCCAAGCATATGAGCCTGGGTCAAAACTCTGACGCCAAGAAAGAGACCGGCATGCCCCGATGTAACCCGTGGCCATGACGGGCCATACCTGAGGGTTCAGAACAGCGTCGGGCGTGCCGGTGCTGTTCTGTCTAACCATCGTACGAACGCTGATAGGCGCGTCAGCTCACCACGACGCCCGCCGGGACGGCATGGGACGCCATGACCGGCAGACGACGCCTACGTATGGCGTCAGTGATAAATAAGGCCACGACTTGGAGCCATCCCTGTTGATATTTTTCGTGGGCCATGTGTCCACTTCAGTATTAACTATTTTTCGTGGGGAGGGCCCATTACCGTGGCTTGCCATTAGGCCTCAAATGTCGTCCAACCGTTGCACTGCTGGCTGGGCTAGGCGCACCCCAACCAACACAATCTTTCACATACAAATCCTGCCTCCAAAAGCTAGCCCAGGCAGCATGGCCGCGCCGTGTGCTTTTCGAGGCTGTTCGATCGGGCGCGCGGACGGCCCAGATTAGGCGAGCTGCAATCATTTTTCAAAAAAAAACTCTTCTATTTTTCGGAAATCAACCCGTGCTCCAGAGACCCTCTCAGTATATTTTACAAAAAACACCTCATATTATTTTGAAATCAACCCGCAATGTAGATCGGATGGGTTCAAGGTTTTTTTTGCAAACAAGACCTTCTCAGGGTGGCAGTGCGGGCAACTGCCATTGCCAAGGGCCACCGGCTCGGGCGCGGGCGCGGGCGCGGGCACGGCCCACCGGCGAGGCGGGCGAGCTCACCAGTGAAGACTCCGCTCTTCTCTCGTGACTGGCGACGCTGCGCTGGCTCGCTGTCGCCTCCTCGTTTCCTCTCGCCGTTGCCAGGGCCAACCATCGGCCTAGCGGTTCTGACGTCTTCGATCTGTCCGCTCGCCACGCTCCTTCCTCTTCTCGGGAGTCTCGCGCTCCTTCCTCCTCCTGGATCTCTCGCTCGATTCGCTGCGCAGGTGGACGAGCGGGCGCGCATGGGGGCGGCGTGCGCCGGCGGCTCCTGCTGGGCGCGGACGTGCATGCTAGCGACGGCGGCTCACGCGATGGCGCGGGCGTGTGCGGAGGTGGCGGCGGCTCAGGCGGGGCGCGCTCGTGCGCGGCAGCGACTCGGGCCGTCGGGGTCCGTCGCCCGTTAAGCTCGAGACCAGAGCGCTAGCGAATCCACCACGGCCTGGAGCAGGACTCAGGGCCACGAGCAACACGCGCGATCCCCGTTCGCCGCGCACTCCTCTTCAACGGCCTGGAGCAGGGCCGAGAGCAGCACCCCTTTGCTCCAAGGACTCGAGCACGGCGGTGTCTGTGGAAAGCTCGTCGAGCCACATCTGAAGCGCCGCAATCCTCTCCCTCTCCTTGGCGTAATAAATGAGGGAAGGGGCCAAAGCACGGGACGGCGAGGCCACGCCGAACTCGTCCCCGGAGTGGGATGACAGGAAGGCGGAGTGGTTCAAGCACCTCAGTGGCGTGCTCCACTGACAACAGTCGCACGGGAGAGCTAGGCGTTTACAGAGAGTGTCTGCCATCTGCCCCCACAGACCAATATCGCCTCCGATTGCATGCAATCCTGAAGAGTAATTGAAAAAATCTTTTTTCTTCCCCCCTGATGCTTCCTTACTTCGATCTTCCTTTTATACCTTTGTAGTTACTTACGCAAGGTAGCAGGAACAGGGCATCACGAAAATGCATTGGAGATTCAGATGTTCTGTGGAGTCCAGTTGGTTGATTCTACCTTAGTTCTTACCACATGGATTGCATCCCCCATATCCTAATTTAGACTTTGGATACTACTACTACTATTTAATAGCCTATTTGCTCCTAGCACGCAACCGGTGATGACCAATTTGTGCTTCATGCCCCGGCTCCAGGGCAACGTTGGAGTTAGCAAAGGGGGCAAGCCAATGATGCAGCACAAACTAAATATTTGAAAGCCAAACTCTGAAACTCATATGCAGTTATCAAGTGGTGCAGCATTGTACTTACAACAAAGTGTACTGATTGCAATGCCTTAACTATTGCTGCAGTTCTCAACGTGACTTCTACTGGCTAAACTATCACATTCAAATAATTTGTAGGCATTCACAAAAGATCACAAGCTACATATAAACATATAAAGACATCATGTCCTAATCCGATACCATTCAGGAACTCTACCTGCGTGACACATGACTTCCTACAGCAAAGAGACTACATCTGTATCTCTTGGCATCCACAGACTGATGGAGGCTTCCAGCACCTCATCCAAGACCACAAGGAAAAGTGAAAACCTGGCTCTCAACTCCGATTATACAGAACATTCCATATGTTCTTTGATGTTTTGTCTACGCTTCCTTTGGATCGTTTATTTATTTACATACTCGAGATGTGCCTGTGGACTGATCTGGTATGCCAACTGCTATGAGCTTATATGTGTTCTGCTTCAGTGGCCATGTTGTTTTTCCAATGATATACACTGGCATGAGAAACAAAAAAAATTCCCCGCAGTAAGTATAGCAAAAGTGCTTTCACAGTTTCACCAACATATATTTTGTTCATTTTTCTTTGGATCTAGACAAATATTCTTATCATCGTAATGTCATAGGTAATTATTTGCTATTTTCAATTATTATCAATTTGCATCATTGTATTTTACTCATTCAAAAATCAATAATATTAATTGATGGTTATTCTTATCATCCAAGCAGTGAAGGAGCACAAGCTGCTCCCACACTGATGGTCCTCCACGTACTCGCACATGCATCACGGACTGGCCCAACACAGAGGCAGCAGCGCGGCAACGCCGCGCGTGGTTTCTAGTACTAATTTGTTTCCGTAGCTCCGATCTCAGTGTGGACTGGGCTGTCCGATCTGAGTTTGGACTAAATAGAAACGAAATCGCCGTTATTCCATGAACACTTGCAGAAGAAGACAGGATGCTCATGCTGCTACATTGTACCATAAATAAATAAATAGTCAGTGCTCAGAATGGCTGAGCTTGAGTGATTCCAGAATCCAGAGCAGCGGCTTTCTGCTGAACTCTGCAGGTGCGCTCTCTGTATGTGCTAATGTTGGTGTGCTAGAGATAATTTTCATGATATTAGATGGACCTGATCTTTTCCAGTGGCCTCCGCAATGATTCGGTCTGTGCCTCAGATGCTCAGACAAAAATAATGTTAACTGTTCAAAGTACATTCTGCAAAAAAGTTGAGTGAAATAATGTCACTAGCACAAGCACACAACGGAGGAGATGACAGATGAGTGAGGCGTTTCTGCAAAAGCACCAACTACAGAGCCTCTTTCTTCCAAGCACGGCAAAGGCCCCTTTCACGGCGTTGCTGAAGAGAAAGGTGGCAAGCCTGTCCAGGAAAGGGAGTTTGATCTACAGACAGGAATCAACACAAAGACAAGAGCACACTGAAATACTCGATATGTAGAGAGAGGTCCGTTGCCACTTGCCAACGTCCTCCCGACCGATAGCCAATATCTGATGGTACTGTGGAATTGTTCACTTTGTGACATCTTGAGGTAACGCCCTTTTACTGTACACTATTCTAATTCAGTAACTCAAGATCGGAATTCCAGAAGTAATCTGTTCCATTGGTTCAGCCTACCTGCATCTGTTACGCTTGCCGGGCCAAATCGGTGTTCGGAGTAGGCCACATCGTCGTTAAAAGGAGATGCAGCCCAGTCCAGACGGAAGCGACGCATGCGTAGACATTTCACTGACATTTATCCCATTGTGAGCCCGAACGAGGCAACGGCCGGCCCAAACGCGGAGTGGCTTCGGAATCCAACTTGGAAACCCCTGTTTGTCTTGCTCCGCGCCAAAGCTGGATCCGTGTGTTGGATTCTTCTGTAGTACGTGTGCTGTGCGCAGGGTTTCCAAGTGCACGGTTTTGACACTTCCGCTCCGTACATATCCTAGCGACCTAAAACCGTGCCCTTGTCAAAGCCAAACGTCCACAGGTTCTCGGCATCTTTAAAAGCTTCTTTTGACAAACGAACGTTGCCGTGTTGACGCAGTCAGTCCAACAAAGTCATAAGGTCGGTGTAAGTGTAACACAGCAATTCTCACCGTTAAAGTATATGTTTATGTACATGTACATGTACACTGCACGTTACATCATGACAAAGACATGCATGGCGTCTACGTATGTAGATGTATATCCGCCGAACTTATGCCGTATAACAATGTGACCAACCGATGGATCGATCGAACTCTAGTTGGCCGGCGACGAGCACTCGGGCGGCGGGCCCTGCGGGAAGCGGTACTTGTCGGTGCAGTAGTTGTAGATCATGTACTTAGCCTGCGCCCGGCGGAGCTGCTCCTGCGCGGCGCTATCGAGCTCCTGCGACATCCACGCACCATTAGACCTCGCGCACGAGGCGACGTCCGGCGCGGTGCACCCGGCGGCGGCGTACCCCTTGTACGAGGCGACGAAGGGCGCCTTGGACCAGTCCGTCCTGACTCGGCCCCCCTGCGTGGCCCACTCCTCCGCGTCCCACACGCTGGCGTACACCCGCATCGGCTGCGACGTCGGGAACGGCACGGCGCCGTCGTTGCGGCGGCGGAACTCGCGGATGGGGACGCCGTCGACGTAGAAGACGATGTGGGCGGGGTTCCAGAGCACGGAGTAGGCGTGGAAGTCCGCGGTGGGGTCGAACCACACCCGGAACTGCTGCTCCCGCCCGCCTTTCCCCTGGGTGTACACGTTGGTGTGCACCGTGTAGGGCTCGCCGGAGACGTTTCCGAGGAACTCAAAGTCGATCTCGTCGTGCGAGCTGCCCTGCGAGGAGAGGTAGAAGGTGGTGACGGTGCCCGCGGAGTTGCCTGGCACCAGCTTCAGCTGCATGTCGAAGCGGCCGTAGAGGTACTGGGCTTTGGACTGGAACCCCGAGCCGGAGGACCTGTCCATGGACAGCGTCAGCAGCTGGCCGTTGTTCAGGATCTTGCCCCTCCCGTCGCCCCACGTGATGTCCACGTCCTGGTAGAAGTTGCCGCCGGCGCTCGTGACGATTCCCCCGTGCAGCAGCAGCAGCTGCAGCAGCACCGCCGCCGCCAGAACCAACGTCTTCATGGCACCGGCGGACGAGGCCATCACAGCTCGATCGATCGGTCGTTCAGACTTCAGACTGGTTCAGTTCTCGTCTCTGCAAGACACTGACTGCGATCGATCGATGGATTCTCGATAGGATGGTAGGTGCTGCGACCAACAGGCGGATGAAGCCGCGGTATTTATAGCCCGCCGGATCGATGCTTCCGGCCGGATGGTTGGACCAGAGAGGATCAATCGGTCGATGGATCGCAGGGTGATGAGCTGGCTTCGCGGCCCGTCCACGACGACGACGTTGACGCGGCAGGGCAGACGGAGCCACGCACACGGCTCTGCCAGCTGCTGGCTCCAGGTTTGCGTCCGGGCATTTGTTCGTTTTGTTCGGGTCCCTCCCTCCCAGGAACCTGATGGCGGCGTGAGACGAAGTGCCGCGCGGTGGACGCACAACGGCACGGCACAGGGAACCGCGGCGGGCGGCAGGAATTGTTCGGCGGGTGTGTTCGCGTCAGGACGTCAGCTGTTTTGCCTGCACACAGCTGAAGCGGAGGGAAGAGCCGTGTGCGAGGGCTCAAACGCACGCATGCACGCATTGCTGCATGCAAATTGCAGGTAGCTAGCTAGCTGCCATGCATGATATGATGAAACTGCTGGCAGAATAAAGCTCGCCTGGTCGTAGGAAGCACTAGCTACGATGGTGTTAGCCAGTTAGGAGAAGATTGAAGAGTCTATCTAGCCGCAGTTGGAACGAAAAAGGAACCAGCATGCATGATGAGGCGGCGGATTAGGACCAAGCATATGATTGGGGGCTGATTGGGATTAGGTACGTGTAGTATGGGCTCCATCCATGCACGTATCGTGTTAGTTTACACGTCCTGTTCATTATGAGCTATCTTTAGCAAGGAAATTTATGGGACTGCTTAACTGTCAGCACAACATAAAGCGCGCACACAGACGAATAAAAAGATAAGAAAACAAATTGAAGATGCGTACGTACTTCATTCCAAAACAAAACAAGTATTATTCTCAATATCTGAGAAGTCAAACACTTTTAACTTTTATTAAATATATACAAGGAATTATTAATACTTAAGGTGTATAATAAGTATCATTTGATTAATTATTGAGGATATTTTTATAATAAACTTATTTGAAGATACAAATGTTGCTGATATTTTTTATAAATTTAGTCAAACTTAAAAAAGTTTGACCGGCACATGACCCAAAATGACACTTATTTTAGATTGGAGGGAGTATATTTCTTGTTTTTTTAAATCAAATAATTTAAAATTTTATTAAAATATAAAAATTACTAACATCTATGATTAGATTAGCTACGAAATATATTTTTATAGTACAATTATTTAGGAACATAAACGATGAACTATAAATTTAGTTAAACTTAAAAAATTGATCGGAGTACCCTTCTTGTTTTTTTAAAAGTCAAATAATTTCAAATTTGATCAAATGTATATAAAAGTATTAACATTTATATACTTATTAAAAGTATGGTTGATTAATCTAATAAAGATATTTTCGTAGTTAAAACTATTTGAAGACATAAACGATAACTATACGTTTTAAGTTAAATTAAAAAATGATTTTCTCAAACTAGAAATGCACTCTTTTTGAAAGGATGAAGTACCAATCACAGTACAGTGTACACATGCATAGATGCATGCCGCACACTGCACCGTGCATCACAGTCCAAGGGATGAATTGACCCCAATTGCTGCTCCTTGTTGCCTTGCGTAGCACTGTATACCAATCGATGTATATGTTTTTATCGTCTCTGCGAATGACTCCAGCCTTTCGACCATCTGAAATTCTGAATGCGCCACGAACGCACTGTGATATACTGGTACGTAGCAGTTTTTCTGGTCAGAGTCTCAGAGATCGACGGTCGGCCGTATCGGATGCAGTCGTAGTGGAGCTGTTACTGTCTTTCAAAATCATCTGACTGTATATCATACACAACGTACACACGACTTGGATAAGAAATAACAGCTAGCGCCCCTGCTGTAGCTGTAGACATTGTTAAAAAAGTTATGAGTCTGACTACCAAGTCTACCTTTACAAAACCCCCCCCCCCACACACACACACACACACACACACACAAAAAAAAAACTACCGAGCATGCGTCTTTTAGGAAAGTAAGGTTTCATGTCTTTTATGGAAAGTAACGAGAGAGCATTTTACACGTTTTTTTTTCGTTTTTATTACACGGTATATAGATGTTCATAAACAAGTATGCACCACCCTGGCCTTATAACTATCTCCGAAAGACTAAGCTAGCGGATCTAAGACTGATTTAGTAGCCTCATGAGCATCTCTGAAAAACTGAACCATAGCGATCTAACAAAGTCACCATAACCCCATGAACATCTTCAAAAGACCGAGTCAACAGATTTTGATACTGACAAAACCACTGCAGCCCTATGATATGATCACCTCCTAAGGAACAAGCTAACAAATCTTGAGATTGATAGGAGTCGCGTCGGCGATAGCGGAGGCGCATGCCACCTCCATAGGTTGTGTCGATGTCCTTATCCCGGTTGTGTACCATTTATGTAATAACGAAATATGTACTTATTTGTTAGGATGGTCCAGCCCATGGTTGTAATCCTGTAGATCTCCTAGGGCGCTCGTCAGAAGCGCGTTGTGTATCAAACTTTCTACCTTAAATCCTTAATACAAAGATACACAAATCTTTTGCGTATTTGAGAAAAAAAATCTTGAGATTAATGAAACCAACATCTACTAGTAAAAGAATAGCGACTTTAAATTCTCGAATAAAAAAAAGCAAGTAAAAGTGCAGAATTGAGAACCTCGACTCGGGTGAGCAGATTCCACTACTAGAAACCGAACCAACTGAGAGTTCACACGTATGATATTAATATAATCTTCAAGATAAAAAGAACGTAATATCCAGAAATTTTCAAACATAGGTACCATATCCAAAAATATATAAATCTAAGCCACATGTTTAATGTTACAAAGAGAAGAGACAAATAAAATAGGAGTAAACTGGACTAATAGTCTATTATATTGGTATTTGGCCAACAAAAAAAGGTCTCCAGGATTAATCTTAATAATGTCTACAAATGACGACATTGACCAGGAAATTTTCAAATTAAAGCAGAGTAACCCTTCATGCATGTTGATAAACTACCCATCATTGAATTACTCAAAATAATGTTAATCCAATGCAAAGTGCTCCTGTACTTTATTTCTATGCTTTGCACCTATATCATCATTAAAGATAATCTAACCAACAGCCTTTATTGCACTTGTACGCATTTAAGAATTCAGTAATATGTTTCACCGATTTCTAGTGCGACAGCTGCTTTGTCAATTCGGTCATGAGCTGTTCCACAGAAATGAAAATCGGCATGAGCGGTGTACGGTGAGCTAAAGCCACGTGTAGAGCGAGTGTAATACGTACTCCATCGGACACATAGTACTGGGCCGGTGATTCATCTCCGTGCGCCAGCGATGCACGCATCGCAATCGCAATCGCAATCGCAATGGCAGTCGCAGTCGCAGCCCCATTAGCAGATCAGATCATACACGGCTAGGGCCGGATATCGAGCCAGCTCAGCTCGCCTCGGTTGTTAATGCTACGAGTTAGAGGGGCAGCTCGAGTTGGCTCGTTTAGCTCACAGCTCACAAGCTACTTAAAAAAATAGAACACATATGTTTATAATGTTTATATTACATTAATTTCAGAAGGTGACGTTCACCATTATGCAACCATATATGATTAATACATATCAGATTCATCAAAAGTATCAACCATACAACATAGATGGTCCATCCATGATCATGCAATTCCAGCATACTAAGGCCCTGTTTGGTTGAGCTGTGGCTGTGGGAGAAAGCTGTTGTGGGCTGTGAGCTGTGGAAAAGTTGCTGTGGGCTGTGAGCTGTAGAAAAGCTGAAAGCTGTTTGGTTAAACAAGTATAAAATATACCTTTTATCTTTATCTCTCTTGAAACAACTATGGAAGAGCTTTTTATTCTACCAATTTCGAAAAGCAGAAAGCCAAAAGCCAAAAGCAGGATCAAACCAGCTTTCAAAAATGAACTAGGGAAAAGCAGCTGCTTCTGAAAAAGCACCCTCCAAAAGCAGCCCCTTTGGTTGGGCTCTTGGCTTTTGGGGCCAAAAGCCAAAGCCAAAAGCCCAACCAAATAGTTCATAACTGGTTGCTTGCCACCACAAACTTAGAAAAGTCCACAGATTCAATGTCAGCATCGTTATCTTCTCCTTGAAAAACAATCTATAAAATCAATATTTAAGTACCACAACAATTATCAAATTAAAATTTATATGAAACAGCTGAAAATAAGGATTACATACCAATAGAATAGGTGTACACTTCGAGGTCAGCGTCATCATCTTCTGGATTCATGGTTGTAGGCTGATAGGCCTTAGCTCGTTTCAGCTCGTGAGCAGCTCGCGAGCTGGCTCGTTAAAATAGCGAGCTAGACTTTCAGCTCAACTCGTGAAAAAGTCAAAACGAGCCGAGTCGAGCCGAACTGAGCCGGCCACAAGTCGAGTGAGTTGACGAGCCGTGAGTATTTTATGAAGCACTGTACGGCAAGGCAATGGCCGGAAGCCAACAGACGGCGGTGAATGAAGAGGCCCTCACTACTGGCTGGGTGCACCCTACGGAGATTTCAAACTTGGCTGCCCGCCCACGCCCAGCCTTGGCAAAGCCACCGAGATGCATGGCGCTCGTCGGGGATGGCGCATGTCATCGCCGTTGCTCGTCGTATGAACTTGGGCACGTACGTACATTCAAACATAGAGTACGACTTAACGAATCTCGATTCAGACAGCGCTGCATGAAAACTCCGCTAGCTCTCGTCTTCTTCTATCAAGAGCCAGTAGCCGGGACCTCTAAGAGGACTAGGGGAGTGTCACTGCACTCTGATAGTTTGATCCAGGAGGATATTCATCCTGTTCGCTTCACTTATAAATCGTACTTTTTTAATCAACGAATATTATTTTTTTTTACAATAAATTAGTTAATAATATTTTTTAT